TAGTGGCGGTCGAAAGTTACCACCGCAAATTTGTTTCGTGCCATTTTTTCTTATTCTGTAAATTTTCTTCAAGCACTTATGTACCATACCATGTCTTTCATTATTTGGAATCCACGGATCTTCAAAATTCAAAATACTCGAAATACTCGTTGGTGTTAAAGAAACTGTCCACGGAAAAGTCGTGATTCTATTTCACCATAAATCACTGGCTTGAGACCATCATTCACGATAAAAATGAAAAGAACAAAAAAATTGTTTGTTTTAAACAATTTCGAAAACGAAAGGACTGCTACGCGTTCAAATTCCCATACATCTGTCACAAATGCTGGCGACGGGAACGATTCCACTTGGTTCTCAAGTGCCTTCACTAGGAACTCTTTCTGGCCTTTTCCACCTATGGCAATAACATTTCTCTTTTCTACTGCATCCTATTCTATCGATCGTTTTGTCTCTATTCTCCAAATTCGAACGCTTTACCCGATTCTTTCAATGCGTCGCCTGATACGTGGCCGCCCCAAGGCGCACTTCTTTCCATGCGTTCCCTTGTCTCCGCCCGACCTACCCTCGACCGTCCATAGAGTGTGGTTTTTGTAAGTTTTTTCTCCGCTGAAAGTTGAACCTTCTTGCGTAAAGCTTTGTAGCTTTTGCTTTGCTTTCTCTAGTGATCACAGCTGACATATTCATAATGAGAAAGAATGCAACAATTTCCGTGAACGATTCCGTTGAAGCGAAAAAAGGAATCGTGCTGCGAAGTGCTAAAATATTATCCTTCCTGTCAGTGAAATCGCAGTGAGAACTGTAATTAGTGCACAAAAAAGGGCAAGATTATAAGTTCAGGAACATAGGCTGTATACCGTAACCTTCTCGACGTTGCACTGGGGCGCGCAATCTCACGTGTCATCGATTTCGATTTTCCGGTTACGGGGCAGTGGTCAACCAACGCGTGAGAGTCCAGACAGAAAAGCACATACTTTCTGCTTTTCTAGGACTAAGCCTTTTGAAGGAAGGAAAGAAAGCAGAGACGCTGTAATAATAGTGTGCATATGCGAGAGTGCCCAGAGAACACTACAAAACGCTGAATCACCAAGCCTTTCGGTTGACCGCTGCCCTTAGACGCGATTTTCCATGTGTGCTCGGCACCCACTTATTGTTCTCTCTGCGTTCTCTCAACGAAGAGAGTATGCGTCGAGAAAAGTCCGCCAACTATACTACGAGCAGTTGATTAAGAACGCGGAGGATAGCACGCACTACGGTTTGGCCGTACGTAGGATGAGCGGCACGTGGGGCGGACCACCAGGGTCAACCCTATCGTTGTGACTCTTCGAAAATTTTTTACGACCCCCCCCCCTTCATGGTTGATTTGATACGACCCCCCCCCTTGTACGTTACACTTGTGTAAAGACAGATTGACCTTAATATTTATTGCTACTCAAGTCAAATCAGCTTCCGAATAATGAGATGCACTCGAAGGTACCCGAAGGGTACCCCGAGGGGTTACTAAACTAAGAGATCGCCAAACTGAATCAGTTGCCTTAACACATTGTGGACCGCCGTTGAATGAAAACTTCGCCAAAAATGAGTCATCTATCAATAAATTTTTTGCCCGCTTGAAGATGTGTGCAAACTGTTCAGAAAGATTGTAAAGACAATAAGTCAGACGAAACCATGCTCTTTCAATCATGCGATGTGATTTCAAATTTGCTGGTTGGCGCCCTTTTGCCTTGCTGACGGTGGAGCGCATCTGCTCAAGGTGAGGAGCCGTCGAACGGGAATGTGAAAAGTTTAGGAGTTTTTTTTGTTTAATTTCAGGTAGTCCGGAAGATATCGGCGGATGTTGGATCAGCGTGGTTCATCCTTCTCAAGGAGTGCCCATTTTTTCTCAAACCCTTCACAATGAAAAAGTTATAAGCCAAAAAATTAGATTGCAAGAGAATTTTTACACTCCTCTTTCTAGTTATTACGTTTATTACGCTCCTCTCTTTCTAGGGCTATAACTTCCTTCATGTTCGAGCTTCAGCGCCATAGTGATTTGATTTAAAAAATTCAAATTATTCTCTAGCCAATCATGGGTATAAATTCTTCGAAAGTTAATTTATTAAAAATTTTGGACGTTGTGACTTTCTCTGGTGCAAACCGACTTTTTTGCTTTCAAACGATCATAACTTCCTTCAAAGTCATTCATTTAGGAAGCTGAACGCGATATAACACACTCCAGGATTCAAGCTTTCTAACGAGTACCCAAACGTTCCTGCAAAATCAGTAGTTCAAAATTTAGTCCCGTTGTAACCATTATAAAGGGCTGGTGTAACCATTTCTTTGAAAACGCGACTTTTTTACCTTCAAACGATCATAACTTCCTTAAAAGTCATTCATTTAGGAAGCTGAACGCGATATAACACACTCCAGGATTCAAGCTTTCTAACGAGTACCCAAGCGTTCCTGAAAAATCAGTAGTTCAAAATTTAGTCCCGTTGTAACCCTCAAATTTGAGGGGTATTTTTTGAGCCACTTTCTCGAAAGCGCGAGTTTTCTTAAGTTCCACTGCCCGTAACATCTCGCAAGACCAATTTCATGTTTAATTTAGGATGTGCTAGAATGCTCCGAGCATGCGCTTGCACTACATCCCTTCCTGCCCCCGTGCGACGCACGCTCGGGCGCCCTTCTAATAAAAAAGTCAAACGACGCCACAAAAATTAAGAATAATCTCCCTTTATACTAAGCACTCAATTCAGAGGGGCAAGCGTGCGCTTTACAGCATGCTCTAGTATCAGTAATCTTGCGCAAACGTATCGTGCCGGCTATCATGCTGGTCTCTAAAGGCATTAGTTTCATATGTGGTCTCGTGGCTGTCACAATGCGAGTACTTTTTTCAGGATGCTGCAATCTTCCACTTCATGACTGCGTCCTTGCAGGGAGAAGGCTTTGCATAATTGCTATAACTATTCACAAACACTTTCTTTGCTGCGTTTGCTCTTCTCCTTCGTACCACTATCCATACTCAGTAGGACATCACCAAGAATTTTCAGTGCCGGCCACCAAAAAATTACGACCCCCCCCCTCCAAGCTCAATTCAGTACGACCCCCCCGTTGTGACTCGTCACAACGTAGGGTTGACCCGTTGGGTCCAAGTAACACACAAAAATAAATAGTGAGTGAGCGAGAGTGCATGACAAGTTAAT